AGAGAGAGAGAGAGAGAGAGAGAGAGAGAGAGAGAGAGAGAGAGAGAGAGAGAGAGAGAGAGAGATGGCAATTTATGTTCTTGGATGTCAATGTAAGCCTTCAGCATGAGGCTTGTATGCTTCGGCACCACACCTATACCCTTGGGGACTAGGCCAATACTGTCCCGATGGCGAGCACTGGGCAGTCTTGAAGGGATTTTTTTTGTTGCAAGACATATTTTGAAACCACCACTACCTCGGAGCCTCTTTTTCCTGTGGGGGAATTGAGCTGGGCGCCAAGTTCAAGACGAACCAGAATGGTGGTCGTTTTTCTCCTTTTTGACTGATGCCGCCAGCCAACAAAGTTCAGGAGGCAGAGCCCCTGAAGAATGCTGATGTAAACTGATTCCTCGCAAAAGTTTACCTGTGAAACCTGGCGGTGCTTTAAGAGTTAAGGAGAGAGATTTGCTTTTGTGGAGAAGAATTTCACTCACAACTCTGCAGATCGCCTGCGTGTGGTCTCCTTTATCATCTTGTCAACCTAGTGCATTCAAACCACAAAGGCAAATTGTCAGGCATGAGCAGTGGTTACATGCACAGACAAATTTTACACCTCCTGTGACCTCCATAATCTGCTTTTTTTTTTTTTTCGTACTTTCGACCATTTCTCGATTTATGTGTGCCATCCTTGCCCAGGGGCCATGCTAATTACCCTTTTCTGTATCGTTCCAATTTAAAATGGATGTCTCAAAGGCTACTACAAATTTTCAGTTTTGGTGGTCGGGGTGTGAGTATAGTCTTTAGCAGTGTGATGATATGTTCAATATTCAAATGATACACTCACACGCAGTCACAGAGGTAAGTCGCGTAGCATTGGCAATTTGGCATTTCTTTATCATGAACTGTGTATTCAACCTCAGACCATGATGCTGTTCGTCATGCAGTAAAGATACATCATTGAAGACGGATGAGTTGGTTGCTGCTGTTTCTGGGAGGGGGCCCTGTGAAGACCAGAGAGAGCTTCTTGGTATTATTTGGGGGCTGATGAGATGGTTCAGTTGTGCTAGAGGGACTGGCTTGGTTTTAAGATCTGCTCAGCAGCGAAATACAAATACCACACCAAGAGGGGGGCTTAGCTCAGTTGGTACACTGATAAACTGTTGAAATACAGACCCAAGTTCGAATCCAGATGCATTTAAATGAACAGAACAAAATAGTTCTGAATTACCTGGGACTGGTCAGTTCAATGATGATTTATCAAGGCAATTGCCCTGGCCAATTTCGAAGTGCAAAATTCACAAGAGAGCACAATGCCGTCCAATTGCAAAAGAAATGAGTGAGATTGAGAGGACGGAAAGATCAAGAAGAAGAAGAAGAAGAAGAAAGAAAGAAGAAGAAGAAGATGTACACCAGCAAAGACCAGTGACAATTCCCCCTTCTCTCGCCAACCAACTTCTCCTCCTTACCGCCTCCTCTCTTATTCAAACAATAAGTAATAATAATAATGTTGAATGGCTGAACCAGGATCAAAGTCCAAGTCCCTCTTTTACTTCTTGGCATAACTAAACGTCCACCATAGCCCTGGACTCCTTCTTCCTCCTCTTCTATCAGGCCAAGGCTATGGCAGACTACTAAGGGCCTAGGCCTGCTGTGCAAAAGACAACACAAAGCAGCTATGTCCGCTGCTGTTCAGGCCGCCATGCCTGACTCTGCCTTGAAGCCTTCTTGGTGCGATGCAACCCCAACTAGGGCCTTCCAATGCAGCGCCTCGCAAAGTGATGAAGATGGCGTCCACCATAGCCAGGTAAGTACCTCGCCACTCTCCTCCCTAGTCCCCTTCTTCCTCCTCCTATCTGGGGTCTTCTTCCATAGCCAGGGAGGTCACCCAGGCGCTCCTCCTCCCAGGCAGCGCTAGTAGAGCTGAAGTCCAGCGCCCGCTCAAGCAGCATGATGCCCAAACTTGCATACCGCAAACGAGGAGCACTTCGCTCCTCCTGGAGATATAACGGATTACCTGCCTCTTGGGCGGTGACTTCGAGGCCGCATGGCCCGCAAGCAACCGGTACCTCCTCCCTTCCGAAGGGAAACATCATTGCAGGCTCTGATATCGTCCACACAGGGCCTAGACTCGGGCTACTTGGACTGGTACCCGCCTACCTCTAGGGCTACCGCTACTGGGCCTCTAAAAATGCAAACTTTTTGTCGTCTTCTGCTCGGCCTCCAGTTCCCGACACATCTACCGCTACTTGAGCGGTACGGCTGCCCTAAGTGTCTACAGCCTACCTCCCGCTACTTGAGTGCTTTCCCCGCTGCAACCCTGAAAGTCACGGCCACAGGTAAGTACCAGCCCCCATGGGCCTTCCAAACAGACAAGTGCCCTGGCGGGCCACACACACTCAGATCGACAAGCACTCAGACAGGCACACGAACCAGCAAGCACACACACAGACTTAGAAAACTCGGCAGAACGCGGGAATCTCAGCAAGGCATTCATTCCAGCGGCAAAAACTCAGAAATCAGCAGTGTTCTCAGTCTGTGTTTTGACGGGTCATTACACTACCCCCCTCCTCAAGAGCCAGGTCCCTTCGAGCACGTAACTCACTCAGAGTCCCTGCACAATGCATCATAGGCATAGATGGCAAAGAGTGATCGGGTGTATTCAGTGGGAGTGAGAGTAGCAGAAAACTTCGGTTGCTGTTTCAGTTGCTGATCAGAGGACTGGGGCTGACGTTCGGAGACAACCGGTCGTTCATATGCTTTGACGACGCACAGTGCACTCTGCAGCAAGTTTTTCTTAGAAATCCAGTAAAAGTCATCTAACGAGTGATATGGAAAATGAACCTTATAGTGTCTGTTCTTCCCCTTTCCACTATGTTCGACAATTCTATCGATTTCGTGACCGCCATTGATTGCACGAGGGATCATTGGTTCTCGATAATGGAAAATTTTCAGGAGACAGATACGGAAACAGCTTCAATGCGTGGAAGACTGGATGTGCGCGCAGATGAGAAGGCATGTCAATCACATAAGAAGGACCAAATCATCCCCCACCTGTTTCGGCACCTGCCAAGGGCCGTAGTATTGAGGAAGAAGTTTTTGTGACACCCCCTCTTCTTCAGAAACTCAGACATTTTGACCCAAACGGAACTTTCCACCATGAAGGTTTCAGGATGGCACTTCTTGTTGGCATGTTTGAACATGGCACTGCTTCGCTTCTCCATGGCTGCAATAGCAACCTTGAGCAAGCGATCGAACTTAGTGCTGTACCCAGGCTGGCCAGGTGTTAGGCCAGGTGCTGGATCAGGAAACAGGTAGGATAGAGGATTGTGAATCTTCCACCCGAGATGCAATTAACTTGGCGTCATTCCGGTGGAGGAGTGTATGGAGTTGTTATACATTCCCTGCACAATCGGCAATTCTTCATCCCAAGAGTTCTGATCGGGGACAATTAAAGCTCGAAGAAGTTGGATCACAGTCTGGTTGATCTCCTCAGCCAAACTATCTGCTTGGGGACGTCGACCAGATGTCATTTTGAATTTGATGTCGTAGATCTGGGAGGTGAAGTCTCTCCAATTTGTGCTTATGAACCTGCAGTCCCTATCACTCACACGAGTTTTCGGGGGGCCATAGTGCAGAATGTATCTCTTATTGAACTCCTCAATCACAAGGTCAGTTGGGGCGTGAGATGGCAATGGAATCATATTCAAAAACTTCGAAAGGCGGATCATCCCAAACCCGACGTGATACTACTTCAAGAGACCCACCTATCAAATCTTAACAACCACACCCGAATACTCAAAACTGTGGAGAAGACAGTAGGTGGGTGAGCCTTCGCCCAATGTCCAACACAGAGGGTCTGAGTAAGAAAGGAAGTGCAATTCTCATACCATGGAAGTCCAAGATTCTGACTGAAGGTCAAATCTTGAATAGCAAGGGAGACAGCGAGGAGGGTAGCTGGTCATGGTTAGACATAAGATGGCAAGACGAAGAGTTGAGAATCCTCAACTTGTACACACCCAAAGCAGAACCCAAACGACTGCTTTTCTTTGAGAACATCAAGCCTCTTATCCCCAACCCGCAACCGGTTATCATCGCTGGGGACTGGAACACGACTTTGGACCACAACTTGGACCGGATCTCTAGGACAGTATTATTGGGTCCCACAAGAGCAGGAACCCGGATACGGAATCTGGTGACAGAATGTGAACTCATCGATTCGTTCAAAGTGCTGCATCCGAACAAAAAAACTTTGTCCCGGATCAAAAAGAACCAAGTCAATTGGACCTCATTGTCCAGGATAGATTACTTCCTGATCTCTGAGAGCCTGCAAGGTGCAATCAAGGAAGCTGAAATGCGTCCTTCAACCACCTTCAAAGGACCGGACCACAAACCCATTCAACGGCTACTCAATTTCAACTCACCAGTCGAAACAAGGCAGAGTTTTTTCAGGTTGAACAACTACTTCCTAGTGACCGAGAGGCTGTCCACAGGGTCAAAGAACATTGGTCCATCCAAAAACAACGAGAATTTAGACAGACGAACAGGCACCAATGTATCAGTAGAATCACGGGGCATAGCTGGGCATCGCGAAAGGAGAAGGGAAAAACTCCAATTCGCCATCTCAGTCGCAGAAGTTAACCTAGCAGAGGACCCCTCCAACGAGTTCTACAAGGAGCTACTAGCTAATACCAAAGAAGAACTAAAAGAATGGAAAAGATGGGACTCGAGAGGACTGCAAATATGCGTGAGGATGATGGACTACGCACTCAATGAAACCATGACTAAATTCTTCTTCTCCAAAATCAAAGCGAACGCCAGGATAACATGATAGAGGCACTCAAAGACCCACCAGATCAAGGAAATGTCCAAAAAGCAGGTACAAAGATGGTCAGGATAGCCAGGACATTCTATGCAGATCTATACGAGTCGAAGACGCCTTCACCCCCCACCACAACAAACCAAAAAGCCCCTCAACACATGATGTCATACCTAGACAAAACGATCTCGACAACCTGGATGAACCCCTAACCCTGGTTGGGCTACACATAGCCCTGACCTTGATGGGAAATGACAAAGCTCCGGCCATTGACGACCTCTCGAAAGAATTTTGGAGCTACTTCTGACTGACTCTAGGAGAGGACCTACTCGAGTTCTTCAACAACAGCAGGCTAAAGGGAGGCCTAGGCAAGGAACTAAGCACCAGCGTGGTATCTTTGTTGCACAAAAAGGAATATAGACCTATATCACTACTCACCACTCCCTACAAAATCCTCACTAAGGCCCTTGTAAACAAAATCACAAAGCTAACAAACAAATGCTTCCATATCGACCAAGCAGGCATTATCCCTGACCAATACATACTAGATAACGTGATGACACTAAATGAGGCTGCAAAGAAGATCATGGAAAAACGAATGAAGGTAGCAATCTTGTTTTTGACTTCGAAAAGGCCTACGATCAGGTCAATTGGGACTTCCCGCATGCCTGCATGGAGAAAATGGGGGTAGGCCTCAAGTTCAGAGAATGGGTTAGAGTCCTATA